TTAGTAAATCCCAAAAGATGGAATGTTCGTAGGAAGGATTTGATCGAAGCGCAAACACAGAATTTGGTCCATCCAGCTACTGCACCATTCATTCACCCACCACCCACTCTTAACCCTTGAATTACATCAGGGGTATGTAAGACCCTTACACTGCGGCTTTTTTGAAATAGAGGCACAGTTGTGTTCAGCATATAGTAATCACTACTCCTAGCAATGATTATCCATCGACGGGAACTTGAATGACGTAGCCGGGATTTGATCCGCAGGTTATAGGGAGCACGGTACGGTCACTATTGTTATCACACCATCTGCTCCCAAATGAAAGCTCCGAAAGGCCTATTACCAGTTTGATTACCATTCACAAATGCACATGCATATCATGATATTACAAACACGAATTTCGAGAATGCTCAATGTTACTATTTTTGGGAAGTACAAAAATAGTAACTTTGAGCATCACACAGACTAGTAACCTGCGCTAGGACATGCTCTGTGAACCTCCCCAGGGCGACTTCCTATAACGTGTGACGATTGTGTCCAAGATAGCTTTTAGTTAAGCTTTTATTTATGCACAACTCAGCCTTCGATTGGGCCTCCCTTCTCAACAAGCTCTTAAAACTGTGGTAGAAATGTGCACCAGTAGTAGTCAAAGGGACAAGTCATGGCAATGAAAGAGCAAGTTGTAAACGATCGAAGCTGTGGATAGCCATCCTCCTGCTCCACTCCACGCAAAAGACACTTGATTTTCCTTCCGTGATAGATGAAACGATCTGCTCCTAATGGAACTCTAGTAGGAGCTGTTTTTATCGAAGATTTTAGTGCAGGCTAAATTGAATTACCGAATTTTATTGGGAAGGAGCTTAATGTATGAACACCCTACTTAAGATCGCACTCATATCCGACTTCGGAAGAACTATGTGGAAGAAAATGAGCGAAAATATATTTAGAAATCAAAATAGGACTTTCCCACCGGAAATCCTTTGAGTGATATCGCCGCCTGAAATTTGAGATGCGCAACGGGATGACGTTTCGTCAAGCTGGCAAACGGCTTAATGGGAAGAAGCGCTATAGGGTTCCCTACATATCACGGCACAGAAACAGATTCGCTACCTTAGCGCTCTTTTCATTTTCATAATCATAATACACTAGAATAACTTAGACCACGACCCTTTTGAGCAGCCCCTGATCATCTTCTCACTACGGTAGAAGATTTTTTATTGCCACTAGAACTGCTGATGTGGACCGGCATTTCGTGCTGAATTGTCCAATAAACAAGTGTCCCTTATGATGTCAAGTTCAAGTCGTTCCGAACTTAATTAAAGAACTACTGCTGATGCGAGTTTGTTATAACCCTGTTCGAATTGTAGTGATAGCCTCGGCCTAGCGAGGTTGACCTAGTTTTCTACGGTTACTAGAATACCTTGAATACCTTGATGTCCGCTCTTCAAGGATTATCTCGCCATCCTTGCAGGACGCATCTATGCCATTCTTCTCGATTTCTTGCCATTTGTTGCCATCTCTGTCCAAATAATTTCCTAAAAGGATCACTCCACCTGGCTGGGGGTCTTCCTTGCGGCCTTTTTACTCCGCGGGGATACCATTGGTCACTCGGGATTCCCCAACGGTGACTGGAATCACATTCGTTCTAAATCTTCTAAAATGTCGATCCCGCAGGTGATATGCTCAACGGCGGCCGCAAAACGGCTCCTCAACCACGAGCACGGTCCCGAGGGAACAACCCCTCACGAAATCGATCCTTTCGCTCGTTGTCCATTCAGCATTTCCTGGTGATTTTGATGATGTCTGCGTTGAGCGATCTCAATAATGGCCCCCATCATCTTTGCGTGCGGTCCACAGGTTTTTTTCTGAACGTAGCGTATTACTGCAGCTTTCACGATGGTCGATGGTGACAGAAGATCGTCATCAATTCGTTCTGAAGCCAATTTCAATAATGCTGCTTCGACGGAGATTTATTCGAGATACTAAACGGCGCACGGCGGAAGAGTCATGCAGTTAACGGCCACGAAATTTTGAAGTGCGCGGTAAAATGGATTATGTTGAGGGGCGAATTGAATCAGTAGGTTCGCCCTGATGGCTTTCCTTTCGTGCACGGATTCCGACCAACGACAGACGCCTGTCCAGCGTCTCGTCATCGTCGTCGTCAGTGAGCCAGGACTCGGTAGTGACTCCGCCTCCAGCTTCCAGCTTCCATCAAAAGTGCTCCATCGCTTCTTTTTGACGAACGAATTTCTCCGATATCCCTCGGGTAAAGGCATTCGTCTAAGCCTCTGCTAGTGGGTGAATCCGCTTCCACACTTAGCTATCCAATGGCATCTATTCAATACTTTTCGCCTGCATGCTTAGTCGGCCCCATCATCAACGTGATGCTGTCGGATCGCTGTCTTACATAGTTCGCTACCCACTTTTAGCACATGATGTGGCTCACTCTTCTTACAGAGTACATCTTAGATTGAATTCTGCAAAAAATTGTTCTCGCGTAATCGGAAAGCTACCGTGGGAGCGCTAAGGCTGTTGGCTAATTGGTTCAATCTCGGCATCAACATACAATCGGAGAGGGAGGCGACTCAAATTATATGGCAACGCCGCCCTAATCAAGCTGCGCTTCTATCGTTCTCCTTTTCAAATCCACGCTGCTCCTCACCGACGTCAAGTGACACACCACGGTGCGTGCCCCGACGTGAGGTGGAGCCATCTCGCCCCCCCCTCTAGGGCATCGTCGAAAGGGTCCAGACCAAAACCATCCATGGTGTTATGTTTTGAGTTGTTTTCAGCTGAGTAAGCGCTCAATTCGCAGATTCCAGCCGGCAATGTTTTATTCAGTGTCTTCCATCTTCGCCCTCGAGACATCCCGCTTGGATTTTCTTCGATATTCGCTGCCTACATCGACGCCCACTTGCTACTTCACCAAGACAACGTGTTCTCGGCGAGCAAAGGTGTTAGGATCCATTTCTATGCATTCACTGCCTGTGAGAAATGTCCTCTTTACCTAACGCCGACGCGGAACCTTTCCGGGATATTTATTCCCTGGATACCGACTAATGAGAGATTGTTCTGACTAGTGTTTATAGTGATTAGAGAGCTTTTTTTGTGCGCGATCAATATTCCGCCTATGAACTTCTCACCTGATGGCAGCTCACAAATTTGTAGCAGGACTGGCTCATGAATATGGCGTGTGCTTAAATTTCTTAGTGACTGATGCTTCCGATTTTATCTCTGCTTTTATCCATTCCAAAACTTGTACTACAATGAAGTCGATGTGGCAAAATTAAGTACACTGGTGTTAAATTTCCCATTGCACAGATGAAACTCCCCCAGTGACTCATGGTTTTGAATCTTTATGTAGCACTTTGCTCCACAAAGTTACATCAATTCTGCAACTCACTTCGAAGTTAATTCCACGAGGGATCGTTGGACTCTGCAGTTCCTTCCCCCCTACGACCAAAAAATAACCCGGAAGGCAGGTTGAATTCGCGTCGAGGAAATACTTGCATCGCTACAGCTTAAGCCCCCTTAACGCGGATCTCTATACGACCCCTACCAAGGACTAGGGATTCTAGATGCATTATCTGATGCCAGATTCGCTGAGAAGGATAAAGGTCTTGAATGAGCCAATTCGGACCAGCTGTGATGGCCAAAATATCCTTTACACCTTTGGATGTGACCTCATCTATTTGGAAGTGAACTATGTACATAGCGCACCCGCAAAATGAGTCAGTGACAGCTACCGGTCTGATACTGACCCTGCTTTTGATCTCCCTTTTCACCTCCGACCTGGGTAAACGCGACAATCCTGCCGAGGATTCCATTGACTGTTTCACCCCAGCTGAAAAGCCCAAAGCTCACATATTGTGCACAGTGCTGCACAAAATATCTCTCACTGTACGAAGGACTGCGGAAACAAATTAAAATGGAGCTCGAAGAAAGGGGAGAACCTTTTTTGGCTGTCTGGGTGTCCGAGTTGTGTTGCAGGAAAGGGAAGATGAGGATAATCGTATTAAAGTCCCAAAATCCCAGTGTCCAAGTTCATACTGCTTCGAGCCGATTTCAGTCATATTTAAGCAAAAATTGTCTTAAGAAGCAAGATTTTCCCACAATCTCTCTTGAAGCTTTTTTCATCTTCATTTCGATTATTCATCAAAGTTCCCATATGCGCATCGAAGAACATGTAGAATCAGAGCATCTTGAGCAATCATTCTCACACGGTGTGCTTACTCCTGGCTACCGTAATCTTCGTGACGCAACCATCTATTGGCGTACTTTATTTTTGCAATTTGCCATTAGTCTCTATGACGTCATCGAAATGAAAGGAGTCAGCTCTCAATTCTGCCGCACTCAACGCAGATTTGTCGTTTTTTAGGGTACGAAAGGCCTCGCGGCAAGAAGATGGCCGACATCCTTGGCGTAGTGGCGATCATCTTCTTTTATGTGCTGATTCTTGTCGTGGGGGTATGGGCCGGACGCAAGTCAAAGGTTTGGATTTATGAGAAGACATTTGCTTTGTAAATTATTTTTTTTTGCTGCATGAGCGTTTTTGAGGATGATTTCAAATGGATAAGGACAAAGAATAAGGTCCTAAGCGCTGACAAGCTTTTTTTTGAATTGAGCCATGCACACTTCTACCATTTAGAGTTGTAGGGGCGTTTGAATGTAATTTGGTCTTTACAATGAGTACAGTGCCTGAACCTCGCACAAGTTAGAGATTCTGCTCATGTGGAGGAGTCTGGCAACCATCTAAAGACCTTTAGAGTTTGAATTGGTTGGCTAGGATGCAATCCGGCCCGTAATTTAAGGCCAGAAGCATATTCAAGGTCGGTAAGCAGAGCTTCTTCTCAGTTTCACCACCTTGACAAACAACAGACAACTAAGCAAAGGGCTTTGTGGAGATCGAACATTATTCAAGCTGTTTTGAGATGATATTACACCCTAGTTCCTTTGCAATTACCTGGACGGGTGCTTTACTGAGCGTGAAAGGTGGCTGCTACCATCAAAGCAAAGAACAGATAAAGGTAGAAAGCGGTGGTCGATGCTTTATAACGCTACTTTAGGTTGTCCCATATTGCAGCCACACCCCCTCGACCTTTCCTTTTAGTCTTGCAATACCATGCGCCAGGTGTTCTGCAAGAATAAACAGGAAGCAACTTTATTTTCCAATATTTTGCTCTGAGTAAGTTCGAAACGCATCGCTGCGCAACCCAAGACGCGGTGGTGTTGTTTACAAATGAAATGTTTACCATACCCGCTTGCATCTGCCTAGTAACTCTTCTGTCTTCAGCTTAACGTTCTATTCATATTTGGAGAGACAGAGAAGTACACGATGACAGTTTCCTCAAGCACCATTCGCGCTAATTGGTCCCTGAGTGTGTGACAAAATGCATGTTGATGCTCTTGAAACCAACTAATACTATTCAACAAGCAGATTCAGTCTCTGTTGCTCTAGCAGAGTTACCAGGATGTTGAAAGTCTCATTGATCTTGCCAAGAATCAATCCATCAGACTCGGATGAAACAGCTCTTCTAGTCATCGCGCCAAGTTCTCCTGAATTTTCGCTAATTTATTTTATTTTCGTTGAGGTGGGGGTTGGCAATAGGATCCTGTGAAAGATGTCATCCTTTAAAAAATGACTGATTCATATCGAACTATTTAATCTGTACATCTATAGACTGATCTTACAAAATCTTTGATAGCGCTTATGCTGTTCCGAGCGCAAGCGGATTGCTGGACACGTTAAGTTCCTATTCATGAGGAGTTAAGTGCTCGCCTCTCGCCCTTTCTATTCATGTGGAGGTGAGCGCTCGGGTGCCAATCGTTTTCTTTTTTGGGATAATTTTTCGAATGATTTGAGTGGTGGGCTATGCTAAGGAATCGTCACTAGTTGCGCTGACTCACATCGCCGCCTGTTCATAGTCTATGAAAGTGCAGTGCTTGTACCATGTGACAGTTTTTTGGACAAAATTATTTGTTAAAGCAACAGCATGAAACTGTTCCCTAGTTTCTATAACCAACACTCCTTCGACAAAATCCATGCTGATTGTTCTTCGTTTAGCAAAAGATAACGGTTGAAGCAAAAATCATACCGCATTCTTCATTTTCACTCACCAGACCTCTCTGTTAACAAAACCAAACAAAATCAGAATAAATGAGTAATTAAACCAACGCTCCGGCGGGATCAAGCCTTCTCTGCATCCCGTGCGCCTGATTGACAGCACTCATGTAGTATGCGCAGTCTTATTTTACTCGCGAAAGCTCCAGGGTGAAGCAAATGCACAAGTGTTGCACATCTAAATGTACACGCTGAGTGCCCCCGGACTATAACCTTCAAAAACAAATAGCAGAATTCAAAGAACCACGAAGCGCTGGAAAAACTGGAGTGATAATTTTGCTACAACGCTAATAACTGGAGGAGAACAGGGTAGTGAATTGTAGACTCAGTATTGTGCAAATGCTTACGAATGACTTTAACTCTGATGGTATGCTCCTTACACGCCCCCCAGACTCTTCCCACTGCTCTGCCCGATACGCTGCCGGCAATAGCAGAGGGGAGCTGCGGGACTCCGACTACCCACTAAGTAGACGTTGTTCATCGGGGGGTTTGGGCTTTTGACGACGCGGTAGAAAAAGGGCTTTTCACGAAGTGCAAAACTTTTGAAGAGGCAATTGCTTTGGCGGCCACACACATGCCATGAAGGCGTGGAGTAACGGCAACACGCCACATCTCCCTCTGCCACACCTCCACAAAAGGATAATGTTTGGAAACTCAGGTCTTCTATGCATTCTCCAGCCGCTTGTTCACAAGGACGTTGCGATTGTACAAGGATACCCTTCGAGATAGCGGATACCTTATTTATTAGCTATTGTATTGTGCCTTGCCAGGAAGAAGTGATGTACTGGTAAACGGCGTTGCTTACCATGCATGCAGTTCGAGGATCAAGTCCTGTATCATTTGTCGTATAGGCCACAGCGCTTCTAATTTCAGGGTAGGGTAGTTGGACCAACTCGTCTGGATGAAGTCCAGGGCGCCATTATACATCGAGCTGGCCCTTGAGATCATTTTGTAGCCCAGACTTAATCTCGACTGTCACTCTGAATGAACGTGTAAATCTCAACATTGTTGAAGATGGGTATCAGCGTCGAGCGCTCTCTCACTCGCTACTCTCTGAAATTGTACCCATTCTGAGCAACTTTCTTTCTGGCAAGCAGTGACAGTGATAGAGTCTCCCAAATTTTTATGTCGGCATGAAATCAGTACCAATACAACACAGAAAAATCGGCTTAGGCCGGGAGGGAGCGCAATTTCAAACAGTTTTTGGAGCAGGCAGCTTGTTGATTATCTACAGTGAACCTCTTACTCGTCATCAGCAAACATCAAGAAACCTCACTTCTCCCTCTCAAGTCTGACGTACTCGCAAAACTTTCAGCCTGCGATACACCTCATCCGCGGACGCTTTTTTTATGATTTTTGCACTGTTGTCAGAGCGGTTTTGAATAAACCTCCACAATCGCTATAAATGCAAAGCATCCTTCACCAAAATTCATACGACGTTGTTCGGTGACATTAACCGTCCGAATTTTTGGCTGGAATCGCCCTTTTCATCTGAAAAATTCTAACAATTCTTGAAAACCCAACAAAACGTCTTTATAACCCTGCTAACTTTTCTGTCAATCACACCATCAGATATTCGTGAAAGCGTAATAACAACCTACTGTATACATTGAAATTAAAGCGAGAGATTACGATAAAGTGCGTATGCAGCGTGGAAGTACATGCACCATTGGAAGCAGTAGTCAGGGGCCCAAGGAAACGAAATGTTGCGTTTTTGTGGTCAAAGGTGCGCTAGTTGCAGCGTACAAGGCTTGCCATTCCTTTCTGAGCCCCGCCACGGTCTGTGCTCCGCCCCCAGCAGCAGCGCCCTTCGATTGCCAATGTGACGAGATATTCCACTTCCAGAGTGTATCCTATAACTTTTCATGGGATGCGTGATCAATCAAAGCATGATGCTTGCTGAAATGATAGAGGCTATCAGCATAACATGTGCAAACGACCTCCTAATTGGTTGCTAGCTCGTCCATTATCGGAGGTCAACGGGCAAAGAAAGGGGTCCCATTTTGCGCCTTCTTGACGGATTTCTTTGCTTTTTTCGCCACCTCCGGGCGCGTTTATCGCCTCTCCCTTCCACTCCTCAACCATTCCAAACTATCGGTAAATCCCTCGCTCTCTAACCACTCATCTTGAGGGCCAGCAGCAGAACCAACGCAATCCAAACTGCTCCCGAATGAAAGTCACATAATTTTTGACTTGTGCTCTGTGACGGCTGTGACGTGTTCGCTATCAACTATCATTCGAATATCATTCTCCTTAACAACTTTTTCGCGGATTTCATCTCGGCCTCATATAAGTGTTGTAGTGGCAAATGGTGCGTGTCGTACCTATGAGAATCTAGGATCGATTCCCGCCTAGACCTACCAAACCTTTCATAATGTGTGTTTGTTTGGTATCAGTCTCGTCTTCAGGGATAGAACGCTGACTCGTATTTAATCGGCTAGCCCTAGCAAGTTATTGTATATGCCAAATTCCTTCAATGACACATTTTCAAGAAGGACATGATTGAATTTAAAGGAGGAATTCACGATTAGAATGAAGGTCGAAGAAAGGGAAACTGACCTAGTTGAGGGACCCACGGACCTCCTGAGGGTGCGAACTGACGCGCAATTCGCATGGAAAAATTTGACCTCGGCGACCTATCATGCCTCAAAGCTGGCGGGTCCGGCGATCTCCGCCCACCGATCATCTGATCACTCGCCGTAGTTCAATACGTGGCGAGTGATTAGATAGCTGAGAGAGCGTAGTGTTGAAGAGGGCACAGCGATGAGAGTCGCATCATGCTCGAATCAACGGGCAAGGAAGGGGTACCATTTCTCGGGTTCTGGGCCGTTTCTCATGGTTCTTCCTTCTTTCGTGTACCACTCACCATCCCTAGGTTAATTTGAAATGGGTTGCTTTTTCATCGTGAATTCGTCCTTTTCCAACACCTTCCCACTCCTTTTTTATTTTATCGTCTGTGCCGTTTAGCCGCGCTCAATGCTATACATTTCCAGCTTTATTTCCGCAGATTTCAGCTCTATTACAATATCACATCTATCCGACCCCCCACTGAAGGAAACCTTCCGCCGGAAAATCCCTGATTCTATCCCCACCCATATACTAATTGGCTTGAGACTCCATCGTTCAACGTAGAGGCGAACGAAAAGAAGGCGGTTGTTTCGTGAACAAAGGAAAACTGACGGCGTCAAATTTCTGCCGGTACCATCTGGCAACCGAACGCTGGTGACGACAAGAACGCTTCCACTTGAATTCCAGTATGCCGTCACTAAGAACTCTTTTTGACCTTTTGACTTATTGCTCCAAATTCTCACACTTCTACTGCATCCTATCTCATCGATCGTTTTGTCTCTATTCTCCCGAATCGAACGTT